ACACTATTAAATAGTGCAGGGGGTAAAAGGTCTTCCATAAAACTTGGTATCGTAACAGCAATTTCGGCCAAAGTTGGAGTATTTTCCAAACCATTTTCCCTATTTTATAAAAACAAACTTTAAATTTATTATTTTTTTGGGGGGTGGGGGGTGGTAGGGGAGTGGAGGGTAAAAAATAAAAATTTGAAATTGAAAGTATTTTTTAAAAACAAACTTTAAATAATTTTTTTCCAAATTTTGACCCTCAATTTTTGATCTATTTTTAACAATGTGATTTAAAAGGAAAAAGTGTCATATAAACTGAGACAGAGGGATGAAAAGAGTAATGTTTATAATTTTTATAGATAATGTTTCTACATTGTATAACATGTATTACAATATATATACCTTGTATAATTTATAACAATGTATAAACATTATTAGTTATAGTTATAAACTTCTTTTGTGATTTTTAGTTGTAATCATTATTCAAAACAAATTAAAAATATCCACCAAATGACTTCAAAATTTTGTAGTTAATTTAAAAAAAAAAACTATTTTCAATAAATTTAAACAACGTTCAATTCAAATTTCTCATAACAATCAATTTCAAAATTTAAATAATTTCTTTAAGCTTGTTAAGCAATAATGAGTTGCATTTCTAATTTGATTTTCCACCCAAATCATAGTACTCTAATCATAATTTGAGCTTCAAAAAACAATAATAAATCTAATTTGTCAACTAACAACTAAGATGCAGTTCAATTCAAAATTCAAATCATTTTTTCAAATTTGTAAAGTCATATTGAGTTTCAATTTCTATAAGTCTTTTAGGACACCATGGGAAGTTAGAGAGGAACACATCTCTATTCAATTTATTTTGATATCTATTTTATACAATATATTTTTCTTGTCCATTCCTCAATCTCCATCATATTAAAATACATTGACAATTATTATAAAGTTGAATTTTCAAATAAGGTAGTAGTTCAAATTGAAATATCAATCGATATCTTGTCTGTTCAAATGTTGAAATACACGAAGTGAAGAACCTTTTTCTCAAATTTACTACAAATTATTAAAAATAACTTATTATGTTTGGTAAATAAAAAAAATATTTATAAATTTAATAATATAGTGTCTTATTTAATTATGAAGGTAAGAATTTCTAGATCAAATACTTGTATCCGTGAAATTATGAAGGCCAATGCCCATGGGTGTTGAGAAGCCCAGTCCAGTAAGTGAGTTGGATCACTAAACTTCTAATAACTATTAGCAACATTTAGCCCAACATTAATAAGCATTAAATAGACAAATAAA